ATAGCTGACATTTATTAAACACAGTATTGATCCCTCCAGAAAGCTGGGTGGCGGCCGTCTCTCTTCCTTGCCCTCTGTTCCCGCCGAGGGGCTGTGCCGCTTGCTAACTGGGGACCGTGTCTCATCGTCAAGTCGTGGAAATGAAAGCCCCACCTTTTCCTCCCTAGTGGGGAGCTGGATGGCAGGAGCCGCTGACTTTCACATCTTTGCTGCCAACAAGAAGGCACTCTGCAGGTGCACAGAATCGCGTGGCCGGGCGGGCGGGCGGGCGGGGGGCAGGAAGGGAAAGGCGACTGGCAACACGCTTGGTGATGGGACATGTTTAGGGACTGGAAGTCATGAGACCGTCTCTAGTCTCATCTTTGCTGTGTGATGTGTGATCTTGGACAAATCGCCTAACCTTTCTGGGCCTGGCTGCCTGTGCCAGATAATCTCCAAGGTGCGATGCTGCTCATTCTAGGTGCCCTCCCTCTGCTGGCAGCGTGGAATCATTTAGAGCGGAGAGGGTAAGAGACCAACGACCCAGCCAGCTGTTGTGGCTGAGACGAGTGTGCGGATGTAAGACAGATTAGCCCGTGAAGGCTCCGACCTGCCCGCCGGGTACAAAGCAGCCAGCTAACCCTTCCCTTCAGCCTCAGTGTTGACACAGCAGTGGGAAGAGGGTGTTGATCGCGGTCGGGGTGAGACCGTCTGAGGAGCTGTGGCCCCTCGCCGTTCTGGATTCTGAGGTTCCCGAGATAACCTTTGGGGGGCCGCTGGAGCCATCCAGCAGCCAGGCACACGGACGCTGTTTGAGACCGTGGCTTCCTGCATGTGGTCTTAAACAAGGCAGAGGAAGCTGGTGACTTGGGGGTCCCGTTCTTTATGAACGGAAATGCATCTGGAATTCCACTCAGGAAATCGGGGTGGGTGAGAGGCGGGTCGGGGCTCCTTAACTGGACACCAGTGGTTTAAGAGCGAGAATAACCCGGTGGCCCTCTGGAGAGCTGGCGGTGTGGACGGTTTGACCTCAAAGGTGGTCTTTGTTTATCTGTCATCTCTTAAAATACTAAGGAAATCTTCGGGCCATCCCCAAGATTTGTGCACGAGTGTGAAGCCATTCTCTGAGGGGCTTGTGCACACGGGGTCACATCTCGGGGGCCGCATGGGAGCAGGGCCCGGGGTCTCTGGGTGCTCGCGTTCTGCCTGCACTTACTGTGGTTTTGGCCCCGGACCTAAGCACTGCCGAAGGAGAGTGGGGGACCTCTGCACGCGGCGATGGGACTCGGGAACCTCGCGCCTTGCTGAGCTCAGTGCAGAGGACGGAAGAGCAGAGGTGTATGGAGGGCTTTTACTCAGATGTCTAGGAAGCTGGGATACAGGCATCGATGTGGATGGCAGGACCCATGAATACACCCGGCAGGGTCATGACCAAATGGCTCCAGCACCTGTGGAGTACCTGTGACTTCACACCGCCTCTACAGGGCGGGAGCAAGCCTGTGGGGCTGGGGGAAGTGAGGATGAGGGACGCAGTGTCCACCCTGCAGGAGCCCCAGGCCCTGCTTTAACTCCCCACCCCCGCCCCTGGCAGTGTGTGCCCAGTGCCAGGCAGGGCCTTCCCTCCCAGTGCTGCCCTGCTTCTGACCAGGTCATTTCCAGGCCCTGTTCCCAATTCTCCCGCTGGGTGTGAATCTCCTTTTGTAAGGGGCTCACCTTACTGTGGTTGCCCAGTCTCCCTGGGTTCCTTCCTCCGCCGTGAATAATTAATGATGTGAGTGAGAACGTTGTTCACAGGTGTCAGAGCAAGATCCCGAAGCCGGCTGGGTAGAGTCGCCGGCTGGCTGGCTGCCCAACCCGCCTGCTAGCGTCGGAAAAGCCAAGACTAGTCCCAGGGGCCCTGAACCATGAGGCCACCTCTGGCCACCAGGAGGCGCTGGTGAGCCCTCCCTCCTGGCTTCGTGTGCCCCGGGGGCCCGGTGGAGACTTCCCTCTGTGTGAGGTCGGCTTGGGGTGTGCAGGGTGGAAAGGGATGGGGGTGGGGCACGGGCTCTTCCTCCACGTGCCCCCTATTGTCTTTTTAACGGGGAGGGGAGACCCTGAAATGTTACGAAGATCACAGGTGACCTGGCTCCGTTGGAGAGGCGAGGGAAGACCTGGGACATCTTCTTTGAGATTTTAAAGGACATGTCCACCAGGTGAGAAGTGGGCTCCTCGCCGCGTGCTGGCACCTCTGTGCGTGGCCAGGCCCCTTCCCTCCGGGAGAGTGCTCGTGTGGCGTGTGTTTCTTAGACATCAACTCCCAGGGGTCTTACTGCTGTGACACATTTCTCGCCGTGACAGGAACACTCCCAGGAGGAACACTCCTTCCTGTTCCTCCTCCGGCCTGCCTCACCCTTCTCGCCGGGGGGGGAGGGGGGAGGGGGAGCCTTGCCCCCCGCTTCTGTCCGCAGTGTCCTTCCGTACAGCCTGCCCTCTGACCTCGTCACAAACAGCGAAGCGTCCCTGGCTCGCTGGCAGCAGCGTGTGGTCAGAGTCCCTGGCCCTACAGTTAGATGGGTGGAGAGGCGGGTTTAATGAGCGGTGATGCCTGCTCCTTGCCCCTGCATGTCGCAGGATCGGCTCATGGAGGAGAAGGAAGACTCTCTCTGTTGTCCCCGTCCCGATTCGTCCTTCGTCCAGCAGCTGGGAGGCAGCAGGCTCAGTGGGTCTTCAGCGGTCCGTGGAGCTGCCCTGCCGTTTCCAGGGGCCTCTGCCTGCTGGTCGGGTGGGGACACGTTCAGTACACCTGCTGCTGTGCTCTGCTGGTCACGGAGCAGTCTGACGCCCACGCTCTTTCAAGGGATGTCAGCAGGTGTGTGCTGGGGCCCGGCGCACCAGCAGGTTCATTGGCAGAGGGCAGCGGAGAGGGGGTCACCCGGTGCTGCTTCTCATGGCCGGCGGCCACCCCGGGAGAGGGCCAGGACCCCGGTGAGCTGCCCTTGGGTCTGCCCACCACATGATCACAGTGGTCACGGGTCTGACCTAATTGCTGAGGGCTTTGCAACTTCCTGATAGGAAAGAGCGCCGTTTCTTTTTGTGCGTGCACACACGTGCACACACACAGACGCACACACAGACATGCACACACAGACATGCACACATGCACACACACGCACACACTCACACGTGCACACACACGCACACACACCCACACTCACATGCGCGCACACACACGCACGCACACACACACGCACACACTGTGGGACGAGGGCACCGCAGTGTGACTGTGACAGTGTCCTGCGTCGCACCAGCAGACGGTGGTGGCCATGCAGCGCTGGGCCCCCCACACCGGCACCTCGTTTTCTCTCACACTCTGTGCGTAGCCATTCCTTACAGTGTGGCCGCAGTCATGGAGCTGGGACGGGGGGCCCTGGGCCCTGCACTCGGCCCAGGTTACTGCCCGGCTGGATTCCTGCGTGGTCTCTGCTCAGTGCCCCTTCTGAGGGCGCCTTCCCTGAACACCCCGATAGAAATCGTGCCGTCCGCCTCCTGCCATGTCCCCGGCCTGCCGACCCCGCTTTCCTCCTCAGCACTGGGGCCACAGCTCCTCGCTGGCGTGTCTCCGTCTCCTAGAAGGGGGGCTCCTCCTGCCAGACTCCGGTCCGGCCGAGCTTCCTGTAGCCCCTCGGTGGCCGTTTGGTGCATGCGTGTGACAAACAGCAGCATGTGGGTGACTCTGCTAGATGTTGGCTGCTTTACAGCAAGTTAAGTAAATGAGCTTATGCCGCTAGCTGATGGGAGAATCTCCTTGCAATCATGACGGTTTGGGGTGCTGAGCAGAAGTTCATGTTCATGGACCCCAGGAAGATGTGAAAACGTTTGTGTCCTGCAGACAGTGTTGTGTGTGTGTGTGTGTTGGGGGAGTAGGAGGTGGGGAAGGGTCTCTCATTTCGGTGTGTAGTGATAGAGGGTTTAGCACAATCTGTGCTGGGTGTTGAAAGACACAAAAGTGTGCCTTGGGGCTAGGCCTGGCCAGAGGGGGACCCTCGAGGGCAGACAGCTCGGGGCTCAGGTCCATCTGCACTCAGGACCCTCCCTCCCAACCCCTGACGTCCCATGTTAACCGGTATTTTTTAAGGAGCTTTTTCTCCGTGAAGCAAGCCTCTCCGTACTGAAATGATCTACAAACTCAGTGACCCAGATCTCGGATTGCATTTTTATTTCTCCCAACTACTTTTTTTTGTTTAAAGAAGACAATTGGCAGGAACCTTGATCACCGTTATGTGACCATTTAACGCTCAGAAACAGCCCCCCTCTCCCCTCCCGGCCATCCTCGGCCACTTGGACTCCGCTCGCTGTTGTGAACGCGTCTGTAGAAACCCACGTGCGGACCCAAGCCTGACCTTCCATACGTCTCTCTCCAGAAGGCAGGGTGAGGGGCCCTGATCGCGAAGGAGGGCCTCGGGCCGGAGGGGTCCCGTCCTTGGCGAGGGCCTTTCTCTGCTCTTCTGGGGGACGAGCAGCCCCTGAGGCCTCCGGCGTTGGGGTGCAGGAGGAGGGGTGGCGAGAGCACGGACAGTCCCCGTGTGCACTTCTACGAGGACGAGGATGGGGCCTTAAGACTGGCGTGGCCCTGTGCATGGGTCCTGCCCGCCCATCCTGCTCAGGGAACCGAGGCGCAGAGCCGGGGTAGCTCGCCCAAGGCCCACATGAGTGAGTGGCAAGACCAGGGCCTCCCTGGTTTGTCTGGTCTGTAAGCTCTGTCTTTGACCTTCCTGGACCGCTCAGGGCCGTGCCCCCAGGATCCGGCAGGGCTCGTGCCCCTGCTTGGCCGTTGTGCCCGGGAGGAGCCGTTGTATTTGGCCGCGGCCATCGTAGGCCGTGTGGTGCTTTGAGTTACACTGACCGTGTCCATCTCGGCACCTTCCACGTGGACTCCATGGCGGTGGCTTTCTGTCCTTTGCCCTGAGGTCTGCCTGGATCTCATGGCCGGTCCGGCCCCTCCTGTGACCGACGCTGACCACCTGTGTCCTCTCCTGCAGATGCCGCCCCTACGAGGATTGCTGCGGCTCCAGGTGCTGCGTGCGGGCCCTGTCCATCCAGAGGCTGTGGTACTTCTGGTAGGTCACGCCCCCTCCTGTCAGGACCCCCCAGGGCTCGGCCCACAGCTAGTCCTGTCCTGACCACAGTCACTTCCCCCAGGGTCACAAGCAGGTATGTTCGGTCCACGACAGCATTGCAGCTCGCAGAGTGGCAGGAAGCTCCTTCCGTGTCCGCAGGCCGGTGGCTGGGAAGAGGCCGATTCTTTCCGACGGCGCGCTGGCCAGCGGCTCCTCCGTTTCAGCGATGATGCTGAGGCCACCGTCTTTCTTACAAATATTTTCTATTGCTGTTTTAGAGAGAGAGGGAAGGAGAGGGGTTGCAGCCCAAAAGCTGGCATGTGCCCCGACCAGGAATTGAACCTGCAACCTTTCGGTGCAGGGGTTGACGCCCGACCCACTGAGCCACCGGCCAGGAGGAGGCCGCCTTAGAGAATCCACAGATCTCATGATAACGTTTCTGCTGCCTCACAGCCTCCCCATCCACGTCGTGTCAGTGGATCCTGACTTTCAAGACAGACGGCTGCACCCCGTCCACCGCCCAGCCCTCCCGCGGGAAGAGGGCGACGGTCTGAAGTCTGTAAAACTGACCGTGGGCGGGAACGAGGGAGTGATGCCCGCGGGGTCCTCGAAGGGGGTCCGCGTCTCCATGAGCAAGAGGGGTCCAGCGGCTGCCGACTCAGGGGCTGCCCCCTTGGGAGCACGTCTGGGGGTTTATCTGACTGTAGACAAAGCAGCTGTTGCTGTCGATGACGGGGATGGCGGAGCGGAGTGCGGGCGGAAAGGCTTTGCCTGAAACCAGGGGAGCAGAGCTTGGACCCACCCGCCTCCGCCCTGCTCACGGCCCTGGGCACCCCACCCAGGCACACCCCACCGAGGGCTGAGCTGGCACTCCCTCGAGACTTAAGCTTCTTTTTGACTTGAAGATGCTGACGGGACTGATCTCTGAGGACTTGAATACCTTCACCAAGCACGTCGCAGAAGCTACTTGAACTTTTTTATGGGATTTTATCTTTCCCTCTTGACACCTGTTCCCCGTGCTTGCTTCAGGACACCCCCAATATGTGGGGACTCCACCTGCCACGTTTCCCGTCAAGGGAGAGACTCCTTTTGTCCCCACCATCCCCGCTGCCTTCCGGGGCAGTGGCCTCTGGGGCTGGACTCACCTGTCACGGGGCCTTGGCCTGGCCTCCCTGGAGCTGGCATTTCCCGTCCCGGTGTCACCGAGGCCGGACCTCCTGAGCAGCGACATGCCGGTGGCTCCTCCCCCCTCATGGGCTAGTGCTCAAAACTCTGTCATAACAGGCGACTTCAGCCTCTGATTTTCCGACTGTCAACACGTCTGCGTACCTTCCGTGGAGGGGTCTGGTACCACGTCGGGAGGAAGACCGGGAGGGGTGGCGTTTCAGAGCTGTGTCTGGCTTCGCGCTGCGGCTCAGAGTCCCCTCCGTGGGGCCTGTGGGGGAAGCAGGGCGGGCCGTCCGGGGGACATCGCGCAAGGGCTCAGAACTACCAGGCCGCGCCAAGCCGCGGGTGACAGTGAGGTTGCGGGCACACTCCTAGGAGATGGGAAGACAAACGCTTCAAAGTGCAGGTGTTACGTGATTAAAAAGACAAAAGTAGCCCTGGCCGGTTTGGCTCAGTGGTTGGAGCGTCGGCCTGCGGTACAGAGAGACCCGGGTTCGGTTCCCGCTAAGGGCGCGTACCTCGGTTGCAGTTTGTCCCCGGCCCTGGTTGGTCGTGCGGGTGGCAGCCACTCGATGTGTCCCTTCACATCGATGTTTCTCTCTCTCTCTCTCTTCCTCTCTCTCCCTCCCGCTCTATCTGAACAAAAAATGGAAAAATGTCCTCGAGTGAGGATAAAAAAAAAAAAAAAGACAAAAGTAACAGAGTCCTGGAGAACTGGGAGGCCGGGCCCAAGCGGCTTCCGAGGGCCGTCCCGGGAGGGGGTCCCGAGCCGGCAGCAGGCGCTTCTGAGTGGTGGGCCAGGCTCACTTGCCCAGGTCGGGGCACCTTGAACACGGTGAGGTGAGCAGGTCCCCGAGGATGAGGACAAGTCCCCCACAAGGTTGGAGTGCCAGACACCAGGGTATTTGTTTGAACTGCTGGAGTTGAGAGTCTGACTCCATGTTCTAGATGGAGGATAGAGCCGGAGAAACCTGAGACGTGAGCTCGGCGCCCCCGCTGAACTCAGGGTGCCCGGTGCTGCTCCATGCATTCCTCTGTCTGTGAGCGGGGCCGCTGGTGTGCGCCAGGGTCCCCTGAGAGGCCCCCACGGCGGCCAGGCTCCTAAAGGACACAGGTGTCCAACCAGGTACTTACACGTGGGAAGTTCAGACCACCGCTCCAGCAACAGCGCGGCCTCTGATGCCCGAAAAGTGGGGGACACTGCTAGCTTCTGGGCTCCTCACGGCTGTGTCCTCACCCAGGTTCCTCCTGATGATGGGGGTCCTCTTCTGCTGCGGCGCTGGCTTCTTCATCCGGAGGCGCATGTACCCCCCACCGCTGATCGAGGAGCCGGTGTTCAATGTGTCCTACACCAGGCAGCCCCCGAACCCTGCTCCAGGTCAGCCAACCCTCTGCCCTCATCCCTCCTGACGTGCAGGTGTCCTCTGTAAGCATTCGAGAAGGGCGCCCCAAGGAAAGTGCTAGAAGGAGCGATCCAGGCCATGTTTCTCTAATTCGACTGTCCACCATAACCCTTCCCATCTGAAGTTCACCTGCTGAATGTTCCCCCCCTGAGGGTGAGGTGAGGCTGCTGTCCCCTCGGCTTCTGGATGACACTTTTATATCCTCCCCCTCGTGCATACTGTCCCCACCACCCTGGATCCCAGACCAGCGGGCTTGGTCACTCCTCATCACGATTCTGCTGCCAGCTGTGGCCGGCTCTTCTTGGAGGATGCTCGAATCCAGCCGCCCCAGTCGGAAACCCAGTTTCGCTCAGGGCAGAGGCTGCCTGCTGGGGGCGCCCTGGCCCCGCTTCCCACATAGTGGGGCTCTCCAGGCAGCCGGGCTTCTCGCTGCCCATTCCACGGGGAGGATTGGGTGCCCTCCGGCCGGACTCTGCTGGGCAGCGCAGTCCACGTGTTGAGCAGAGTTCTCAGGTCCCTGACCTCGCTGAGCTCATATTCTCCTTAAGCCCTCTCTCTTCCCGTACTCTGCCCCACACCCTGTACAGGGGTGCAGGCTGTACGCCGGACAGATACATCTTCGTTTGACCAGTCTGCACCCCTCCCCCCGACCAGTCTGCAGCCCCCATAGCTTTCTGCCCACCACAGCTAGGGTTTTGTGCCCAAACACTGACGACAAACCCTGCATGCCATGTTCACCCAACCCGTGCCGTTCTGACCTCTCTGCGACCTTGTAGAGTACAGGTGTTCCTTCCTAAAAATTCTGCTTTCCCCTGCTGCTGACCCAGCTCCCACGCCCACACCCGGCTTCCCCCCAGCCTCCATTGCGCTCTTCTCATCTACGTGGATACCGCGTTCTTTCCTGTCCCGGAGGTCGGCTTCCCCCCACGCTCTCCCGCCTGTGTCTCCCTGCACGCTGTCGGGGTTGTGGCCCAGTGTTTGGTTGCTTCCACACGGAAGACTCCCAAAGCTGCCCTGGCGCCAGCAGGTCCGCCTGGACCCTTCCCCAGCCCCGCCCTCCCCCGTAGCCCTGCCCCGCAGCCCCACCCTTCCCTGTGCCCCGCCCTCCCCGTAGCCCCTCCCTTCCCTGTGCCCCGCCCTCCCCGTAGCCCCTCCCTTCCCTGTAGCCTGCCCTTCCTCTGTAGCCCTTCCCTTCCCCGTAGCCCCGCCCTCCCCGTAGCCCCACCCGTAGCCCCGCCCTTCCCCATAGCCCCGCCCTTCCCTGTAGCCCCGCCCTCCTCCACCCCCCCAGTCCCGCTGTTGCTTGGTGGGACCCCTTATGGAGACCAGAAGCCAGGGCCACTTCTGTTTGACCTCTTCTCCATCTCATGCATCCACCTGGAGCCAGTCCCCAGGTCCTTGGGCTGTAGCTCCCGACTGCCTCTTCCTCTCACCTCCCTGTTTGGTCTCGTATTCAGAAGCTTCCTGCACTATTACAATAGCCTCTTTTTATTTATTTATTTATTTTTCAAGTTTTATATGAATTTTTATTTATTTTTTTTATTACAGATATTTTACCTTTTTACCCCATTGGCACCCCCCACCCCACCCCACCTCCGCCCCGTCCCCGGCTTAGTTGTCCATGTCCATTGGTCATGCATACATGCACACAAGTTCTGTGGTCCATCTCTTCCCACCCCCCACCCCCCCATCCCCTCTTCTGAGGGATGTCAGTCTGTGCCCTACTTCCATGTGTCTAGGTCTACTGTATTCCTCAGACTGTTATGTTCATTATATTCTGTATATAAGTGAGATCATATGGTATTTGTCTTTTTCTGCTTGGCTTCTTTCACTTAGGATAATACTTTCCAGGTCCTCCATGTCGTCTCAAAGGATAAGAGATCTTTCTTTCTTACAGCTGCATAGTACTCCATTGTGTATATGTACCACTGCTTTTTTATCCATTGTCTACTGGTGGACACTTGGGCTGTTTCCAGATCTTAGCCATTGTAAATAGTGCTGCTATGAACATGGGGGTACATATATTCTTCCTGATTGGTGTTTCAGGCTTCTTAGGGTATATTCCCAGCAGTGGGATCACTGGGTCAAATGGAAGTTCAATTTTTAATTTTTTGAGGTAGCACCATATTGTTTTCCATAGCGGCTGCACCAGTCTGCATTCCCACCAGCAGTGTATTAGAGTCCCCTTTTCTCCACACCCTCACCAACACTTGTTGTTTGATGATTTGTTGATGGCGGCCATTCTGACAGGTGTGAGGTGATACCTCATTGTTGTTTTAATTTGCATCTCTCTGATGATTAGTGATGTTGAGCATTTCTTCATATGTCTTTTGGCCATTTGTATGTCCTGTTTGGAGAGGTGTCTATTCAGCTCCTCTGCCCATTTTTTAATTGGGTTCTTTGTCTTTCTTTTGTGGAGTTGTATGAGCACTCTATATATATTGGAGATTAACCCCTTATCTGATACATCATTGGCAATGATGTTCTCCCACACAGTGGGTTGCCTTTCCATTTTGATGATTGTGTCTTTTGCTGTGCAGAAGCTTTTTAGTTTGATGTAGTCCCATGTGTTCATTTTCTCCTTTATTTCTGTTGCCTTAGGTGATGTATCAGTGAAAATTCTGCTCCGTATGATGTCCAAAATTTTGTTGCCTACATTTTCTTCTAGAATTTTTATGGATTCACGGGTCACATTTAAGTCTTTTATCCATTTCGAGTTTATTTTTGTGTATGGTGTAAGTTGATGGTCTAGTTTCATTTTTTTGCATGTAGCTGTCCAATTTTCCCAACACCATTTATTAAAGAGGCTGTCTTTACTCCACTGTATGCTCTTGCCACCTTTGTCAAATATTAATTGAGCGTATTGCCTTGGGTCCATTTGTGGGTTTTCAGTTCTGTTCCACTGGTCTATATGCCTGTTCTTGTGCCAGTACCAGGACAATAACCTCTTTTAAAAATCTTTAGCTTTTTTTTTAAATCCTCACCTGGGGACATTTTTCCATTTATCTTCAGATAGAGTGGGGAAGGGGGAGAGGGGGAGAGAGAGAGAGAGAGAAACATCGATGTGAGAGAGACACATTGAGTGGCTGCCTCTCATACGACCTCAACCAGGGCCGGGGACCGAAATGCAACTGAGGTACATGCCCTTGGCCAGAATCAAATCGACACTCCTGCCGCTGAGCCAAACCGGCCAGGGCTAAATCTTGGACTTTTTGTTCTTATGAAAGGTAATGGGATCCAGAGGTAAACCTCTGCCCTTAGGAGACTCACGGTCATGGGTGGGGAAGGGCTGTGGACACACACGGCCCAGGAGACGCCGGTGCCATCTGTTAGCCATGTGGTGTCAGAGGAGGCCGCGGCTGGTCACCCTCCTGCCGGACACCTCGGGGTGCATTTCTGGCCTCGTGTTTCTCTTCTCCATTCTCTTTTCAACACATTTGTGGGGTCCCAGGTCTGACTTACGCAAGTATGGGACAATCGGACCTTCACTCAGTTAAACTGTAGCACAGGGAGACATGGGGAAGAAGAACCCCTGACCGTGTGCGCACCCTAGGATGACACCTCTGACACTCCCGGTATCCCCGGGGGTACAGGAGGGTCCCTCAAACAGGCCTGCGTCCACTCACAAAGTCAGCTGAGCCCGGGAAGTCCCAACGCTCCCTGTTTTCTTTCTGTTTTTAAAAATATGTTTTTATTGGTTTTTCTTTTTTTAGAGAAGCAGGGAGAGAGAGGTAGAAACATTGACATGAGAGAGAAATGATCAGCTGCCTCCTGCACGCCTCCCACTGGGGACCAAGCCTGCAACGCAGGCATGGGCCCTGACTGGGAATTGAACCAGGAATTGAACCGGGACCTCTCAGTCCATGGGACGATGCTCATCCACTGTGCCACACCGGCTGGGCCTCGTTTCGTTTCTTGATTCTTGTTCATATGTTCAGGGTTCTTTCCGTGTCAACATGACCAGAGCAAGCAGATCTGACACGTCAGCTCCAGAATAGCAGCTCAGATATTTCTACCATTAAAACGAGGGTTGGGCCCTGGCCGGTTTGGCTCAGCGGTTAGAGCGTCGGCCTGCGGTCCTGAGAGACCCGGGTTCGGTTCCCGCTAAGGGCACGTACCTCGGTTGCAGTTTGTCCCCAGCCCTGGTTGGTCATGCAGGTGGCAGCCACTCGATGTGTCCCTTTCACATTGATGTTTCTCTCTGTTCCTCTCTCTCCCTCCCACTCTACCTGAACAAAAAATGGAAAAATGTCCTCGGGTGAGGATAAAAAATAAATAAATAAATAAAATAAATAAAAAGAGGGTTGGGGCCGAATGACTGACAGGCAGGGTGACCGGCCTGCTCCTTCCCGGGACCTTCCGTGCCGTCTGGACCCTGCGCCCTGGCTGGCACGGGGTCGCCTTGGAGGAGAGCTGCTGCCCCACCAGCACCGAGGGCAGGCAGAGCCCACAGCTGCCCCAGCCCACGCTGCTGGCCCTCCACAGCTGGTCTCCTGTCTGGAGTGGGCTCACCTGGGCAACAGGCCATCTCCCCCCTGATAAGATGCTAGCCCAGCCGGTGGGAATGGGCTTCTGCATTGAGATGGTTCTCCGAGGGCTGGAGAGCTGCCGGGGGACTCTAGCCGAGTCCAGAAACCGGTTCTTGGTCCCTGCCCACCCCGTGCCCGATGCCGCCACTGCCCCTCCTGTTGCGCAGCCTCACCCGTTCTGCCAGTTGTTTGCACCCAGGAGGCTAGAAGCCCCAGGAGGCCCAGGCCTGCTGTTGCCTCACCTTGTCCGGGTGCCCACTGTCTGCTGGGTGACTCATCGGGGCGGTGGTCTCCAGGCCCGCCCATCCTGGCAGTGCTTGGGGGCGATGGGCTGCAGGTTGTCCGTGCTCACACCTGCTTGTCTGTCTTGCAGGAACCCAGCCGCCGGGGCTGCCCTATTACACAGACCCCGGAGGACCGGCGATGAACCCTTCTGGGAACACCATGGCCATGCCTTTTCCGGTCCAACCCAGCTCAGCCCAGGGGAGTGTGGCCTACCCCCCACCCCCTTCCTACTGCAACACGCCCCCGCCCCCGTACGAACAGGTGGTGAAGGCCAAGTAGCGGGGGTGCTGCCCAGAGCCTGCCTGGACCACACTGCAGAGGAGCCGGGGAGAAGCCTCCCCCGGCCACCTTCCCTGTCCCCCGCAGGGCTCGCTCCGGGACGGTCCTGTGAGCCTCTCAGGGCGTGTTCCTCTTGGGTACCTTCGAAGCAAGCATAGCTCCCCTTCCCGTTCTCCGTAGGTGACCAGTATTTGAATTTGCCCTGTGTCCTTCTGTTTCCGTTGTACTCTGTGTTTGGGCAGAGTGTGAACAGCCCCCGAGGGTTGACACCTTAGGGTGGCATGTCCAGATCCTCAGGACAGGGACTGAGAGGAGGAGGCAAGTGAGGGCCGCTGTGTGCGGGAGAGCCCAGGGGAGGGCCCGATGCCCTGCCCAGGGGCCTCCTCCCGCCCCGGGAAGTCCTGCGCCCAGGCAGCCGGTGGAATGAGGCCCCACAGGGCCAGAGGTTGGGGCCTCTCGTCCTGTCTTCCTCTTTAAGAAGCTGCTAGAGAGCTGTTTGGTGGACAAGAAGCCTCTCTGCATTTTTTAGATCAGCTGCCGACGATCACAAAGGAAAGTTCTCTGGCATTCCTGGGACAGTGCTCTGTGCCTCAAACCGGGACATTGCATTTTCGGAGCTCTTGGTATGACCTGGGGGAACAGTGTGTCTCCCCCTTTTAGTGCTTGTATGGAAGTATGTGTACAGTCCTGTCTGACTGGAGTGTCTTAACTGACTGTCAGCCGCTGTCTGGCCTTTGAGCATGACCAAGGTCTCCACACCCTTTCCCAGGCAGTTCTGAGAAAGGACGCTTTCAAAGCCAAGGCGTCTCAGCAGGGCATGGCCCGCGGGGCTGTGGTCTGTGTGATCTCAGCAGGTGTGTGTCGGGCTCCAAAGAGGAGCTTCTTAAGAAAAAGACAGGACTGCAAGTTGATCTCTTCAAAAAGCACCGAACAGACTTCGCTGACAACGTACTCAGTGTGGGAATGAAGATGTGGCTGGAGATGCAGACCCTGGCTGCCAAACCCATCTCACCCTGGGATCTCGGGAGTCCTCCCCAGGATTGTTGACGCCACCCCCAGGGCTGCTGACAGTGAGCCGGGAGGTCCCTTCCTCTGTGTAGTTAGTGCTGCTGCTGGTGTAGGGTTTAAACCAAGACGGAGGCCTGACGGGTGGGTCCTGAGTAGGAGGCAAACAGCGGAGCCAAGAAGCTTAGATCCCTGTATGTGTGGTGGTCTGACGGCGCGGGTGGGGGTGGAGGGTGCCTATTTTTGAAATGACCTAGTCCTTACTTGTTGAACTGAAACACCAGGACATGTCATTGGGGTGGACGCTGGGTGTTTTCCGTTCCCCAGACCAGGAGTCGTGGTGTCCCTGTTCTCCTGGCTGTCTCCAGGGGGCGGTGGTGAGGAGTCAGGATGGGCCACCCAGATGCTCAGACGGACCTACCTTCCGGTGAGGATGGAGACTCTGGGAGCCTCCCCAGGAAACATCGTGCCCTGACCACCCTCTGTGACCCGTGAACTCCTGACCCTGGCCGCAGGGTCTCTCACACCTGGGGCCTGAGTGAAATGAGTTGATCAAGCACAACATTTGCTGTTTACAATCAACGCAACACCAGGGGTCTAAAAAGTTCCTCCTCCGGGTCGTTTGTTTTGCATTTGGAACTTCAATCGGTCCCTTTGCTTTTTTTTAAATAAGGAGGCACACTCGGCGCTGCCCCGGCACTGGACCCCGTGCCATTCAAGAGGCACCTTGTGTCCGTGACAAAATCTTGAGCATCTTTTTTGATAGCAAGCGGTGTTAAGAGACGATTTCAGCGGCTTCCAACAGTTTTATACTTCCCTGTTTGTGTGAGGCACATTTTGTTGTCCCTTGAACCTGGGTAGGAACCCTGCTCCAGAGGGCTCGGACCGCATGGGGGAGCTCCTCACGTGGGGGGAGCTGCCCGTCCACTGGTGGGGGGGTGTCCCCGGCAGTTGGTGGTCAGGAGGGATCTCTCAGCAGAGCTGTGTGTCTCCTCTCAGCACTTGGCTCCTTTCTCTCTTCCGTTCTCTTTTGATAGGGTCCTGTTTCTTATGTATGCAAAATAAAAGTAAATTTGGATGTGTGCTTTGGCTGTTGTGCTGGAGAGCGGGGAAGAGGGCTGAGGTGGGGTACCTCACAGGAAGCATGTGCAGTGGGTGGTTCCTTCTGCCGGTGGGGGTGGGGTGGGGTCAGGGATGCAGCCAGCCTCGGGAGGACTGGGCGTCAGATGCTATCGAAGAATATTAGGAAGTTTTGGTCCACCAACACATTTTAAAAATACAGCTCAGGAAACGTTATTTGAAGCAGGTGGGAAGGGAGAAGCATTCATTTGGCAAACTCACGGCCCACACAGACGTGAGCTCTCCTGGGGCCTGGACCTGCCGTCCACAGGTAGGTGAGCTTCGATTTCACACTGGAGCTCTGCCTGGTGGGGACTGTCTCACGGAGCTCTGGAAGGATGCGTCCACCACGGCACATTATAAAATGCTGCTTTTTCCACGTCCATTGATTCATCCGAAGTGCAACTCTCAGGACAGGACCGGGAATAAGCCCGAAGGGGCCCAGCAGCTGGCTGTGGCCACGTCAGAGCTTACCCAGAGAGCCCACCTGGTCATCGCTTCCCCCAGGAAAAGGGGAGCAGGGTCATTTACAAGTCCAATGTCACGACTTGAGATGGTAGACCAGGTGCTCGCTTTTACCTGCCTCTCTCACACGGAACCTCAAAAAGTCCGCAACGGCTCTTGAGCACAGAGGTGCAGGAACAGGCATTCTGAGGGTGTCTGGATCAGAAGCCGAGTGTGTGCAGGAAGGTGGCTGGGGCATGAGAGCTGGCGGAGGCCCCCAGGTGCGCCGAGGCCCCCAGGTGCGTCGAGGCCCCCAGGGGCGCTGAGCAGGAGCGGCGTGGGCAAGTGCAGGGCGATGAACTGGTGTTCCAAGGACCGGCGCGACGGAGGTGCCCCCTTCCCACCCATCGCCCACCCACGCCGGCGGCCGGCTGCAGGAATCGCACGGGAAGCCCTCCTGCTTCCCTACAGACCGGGCACCGTGCGTGGGGCGCTCTGGGCCGGAGGCTTCTCGCCACTTGGCACCTCACGGCCGCGGCTTCACGCTGCCTAGTCTGGTATCGAGGGAACCGGCAGCGCGAGGCCGCGATGGAAGCGCGAGGGACGGCATGTAAATAAAACACCCTACTTCGCGGAGATTAATCTATGTGGCCGAGGCTGGAAGGGATGGACCGTGATAAACGAGGGCCGACTGTGTGTAACCTGGAGAAGTGGCAGAGGGGCGCCAGCACCAGACCCCCCTGGACAGCGACCTCCTTGCTTCCGGCTAGTGTTCCCGGTCCAGCGGCGTCCAGGCCTCTGGTTCGTGCCTGTGGGCAGGGGAGGGCAAAGCTCTAGTCCTGGGGCAGCTGGAGGCCAGAGTTCTCTCCTCTGCACCTGCGTTCACTACATGACATCGGTTTTGTTCTGGTATACATACTTTTTTCCTCTCTTTATTGATTTTTTTTTAAATCCTCACTCGAGGACATTTTTCCAATTTTTGTTCAGATAGAGTGGGAGGGAGAGAGAGAGAGAGAGAGAAACATCGATGTGAAAGGGACACATCAAGTGGTTGCCACCTGCATGACCCAACCAGGGCCGGGGACAAACTGCAACCGAGGTACGTGCCCTTAGCGGGAACCGAACCCAGGTCTCTCTGGACCGCAGGCCGATGCTCTAACCGCTGAGCAAACCAGCCAGGGCTCTTTATTGATTTTTTAGAGAGAGAGGAAGGGAGAGGGATAGAAACATCGATGAGAGAGAACATCGATTGGCTGCCTCCTGCATGCCCCCCACTAGCGATCGGGTCCACAACCTAAGCAGTGCCCTGACTGGGAATTGAATCAGCAACCTCTTGGTGCAGGGGTCGATGCTCAACCACTGAGCCACACTGGCTGGGCTGTTCTGTTATTTCTGAAAGGCAACTCAGTATCTCAATAAATAGTACAGGACCATTTTGAGTTGGTTTTGTGGTTATGTGTCTCTTTATCTCCTTTTTCTTTTTTCGGGCCAAGAAACCATGTTCTTTGTCTACACCCACCATCTGGAATGTCGCATCTCTCCAGGGTATTTGCTGTTTTTTTTTGCTAATCCTCACCCAAGGATATTTTTCCATTGATTTTATTTTTTAGATAGAGTGAAAGGGAGGGAGAGGGACAGAAAGAAACACTGATTGGCTGCCTCCTACACAATCCCAACTGGGGCCGAGGAGTGAACCTGCAAACCCAGGTATGTGCTCTTGATTGGGAATCGAACCGGAGACTCCTTGGTCTGCAGGCTGACGCTCTAACCACTGAGCAAAACTGGCCAGGGCAGTCTTTGCCTCTCTTGTACACTGGTAATTATATAGAGAAGCGGGATCAGACTCGGGTCCTCGTTTTGTTTTGAAGGAATACTCCAGAGATATATCCATCCTGAGGAACACAGTGTCTATTGCCTCCAGGCAGCCGCCAATGGTCATTGCTCAGGCTCACTGATTGATTAGGGCCAGAGCAATGACATTTGCATTCCATTGTCCCTTGAAATACATCATAGATTCAAGCCCTGAGAACAAGGCATACCACAGTGATAAGACGCTCAGGTGCGCGACACAATGTTTAGATTCAGAGCACGTCTTTGCTGTCTGTCCACTGAGCCCCAGACGCTGTGTGGTCACTCTACTGCGCGTTCTGATGGCTCCTCTCCCTCACCCTTCAGTGAGAATGGGAATGGGTTCCATTGTCATCCTTGACCTGGAAATACGTATGTTGCTACTCCTGTAAATCCGGGCCTGGTGGAATCCGTGCCCCCCAACTTTGCCATCCTGCGACCTTGGGAAGCCCTTCCCACCCTCAGCTGTCCACAGGTAGAGAAAGGTGGCAGACAAGCCACAACACGGGCCTGTGTCAGGGCCGGGTGAGACCTACCGAATGCAATGTGCTTCTCAAGGACTTCACACCGTGCCCAGCTCAGTGTATGGCCAGTGTTGTTCATTAAAGTGACAGGCTCCCAAGAGCTTCACCCTATGAGATGCAGGGGGGCC